ACAATTACATATATAAAGTTTTAAAAATATTTTTTTTTTGGTAGCAATGAAAAAATTTAAAAGAATTTAAACTAAAACAAATATTATTAAACAAAAAATTTATTATCTTCCTTAAAGTAAAATTAAGTTAACAAAAATATTCTCCTTAAAAGAACTTCTAAAAATTAAAATATAATATAATTAAGAAAAAAATTTAATAAAAAATGCATAAAATAAGTTTCTAAAAACTAAATTAAAATAAAAAATATATATTTATACTATATATATAAAATATGAAAATAAAAAAAATAGTCACAAAAAAATTAAGAAATGAAAAATATTAAAACAAAAAAACATAAAAATTTAGCTGACAGAGACTGTGCCTTGCGTACTCGGCCATTGCGAATGTTGGAGCGACGCGAGCTAAATGATAGCCAGTAGTTTCTCCCAAAATAGATTTTCACCACGAGTAGTGAATGAGAGCTTTTTGCTAAAGTTTTGTGCTGGAATAACAAAAGTCTTTCGAGGTATCTTGCCATCCATCTTCCGTTTGTCTTACGAAATTGCCATGTTAAAGAAAATTCAGACATTTCCAATGCCGAATTTTCACTAGGCATTGAAATGACAAACAAATTTGAGGCATTTAATAAATGCCTTTAGAAAATGAATTTAATGACTTTTATGATACTTTGAATACCCTACTTTGCCATTACAATTATTGCCACTTAATGCCAAGTGGAAATTCAGCATAATACAATTTTCATTTCCATGTGTCAGAGAAAACCTTCTCTCCGCTTTAGATTTTTTGAAAAATTCACCCATTTAGAGAATAAAAATTTCAGACAAACTTATTCACCGAAAAAAAAACAATGTATTTGACCACTTTGTAAGCTTCGTAATCTTTTAAAGTCGTAAAACTTTACTGTTGACAAAATAACTGTTAAAATGGTAAGGAATTTAATAGTGCATAATAAGAGCTAATTATACATATATCCTTTAGCCGTTTAAAAGCATTTTAGTGCAGTTTTCAATTTTACATTGAAAAGTTGTATGACTTAATGACAGAAATAAACCGAAATGACAGAAAATAAATTATAAAAATGGCGAAAATTTCGAGTTTTGACACTTTAACCAAAAATTCTGACGCAAGGGAGCATTTTTGAGCGCAAAAAATCTACACGCCACATATCTACCCATTTTAGAAATATGCCTCGCAAGCATGTGCATTCGGTTAATAAATTACGCACTTATTTAAGTTTTTATAAAACGCAATAAAAGTTGCCGCGAAAAATAGATTTAAACCGTCGTTATTTTGAAGCTATCTACCCCTAAAGCGGCTATTTTGTTTTGCTAAAGCCATTTATTGGCAAAAACCTCGAAAAGTAAAGTTTTGTTTATAAAAACTGAGCTATCCAAAAACTTCCAACAGTATCCATTTCACGAGTAACAACTTTTGAGCTAAAATTCTTTAAAGAAATGAAGATTGATGACGAGAAATTTGATCACGATGTGGTTGAGTTACTGAAATTTCCACAAAAGTATCTAGTGAAAAATTTCAATAAAAATTTTATTTTTTTTTTCAACATGCTTCACATAAGACCTATGAGATTCCTACTGTGACTGCTTATTTTTTTGTCTTTATTCTATGGAGCATTCTAAACCACTACCAACTCACATACAGAACTGAATATGTTTCTGACGTTGAAGGTCACCATTATTGCAATATTTATTCTTCCGCCTCTCCACGGCTGGCCTGCTATCGCATATGATGCCATTAAAACCAATTTCTCTATTGGCGCTGCTGCTCACTTCTCCTTCTAAAAACTAAAGTGAATAAGTAACAGTTCCGCTTCGCTTTCAGTAAACACTTATGTAGTATCAAGTGTAAGAACAAACAGAAATGAAATCAATATATGCGCCCCCCAAAAATACTTTAAAGTTACTCAGAATAGAAACAAACAGAGCATTAGCTATGACGACAGCTTAACTAAGTAAAAGTAAAATTACAACAACAACAGAATCCGCCAAGCTGTCGTCACTACAAATGCACTACTACTACTAATTGAGAATTTATATTTTACACCTATGAGTGGATGAACTGAAAGTTCAGCATTTAGCTCTTTGTTTTACTCACAAAAACCCTTTGACGTAGTGCTTCCATTTCCAATTTCTTGTGCTCTCGCCACCCTACTAGCATATATCATACATATGTACATATCTAAGCATATAGTCAGGGTTGCCACTGAAGGAAAAAAAAATTTACCATTCACTTGAGAAAAATCTACCAAATCTGGAAAATATCTACCAATAAATTTTTTATAGTTATTTTAATAAAAACTATAGTTTTGTTATTTTTTATTTATTTTAATTAAAACTAGTTTTTATTTTTTTAGTTATTTCAATAAGAATTAAAATTGTTTTTAAGGAACTTTTTATTTAACTAATTATACGGTATTTGAGTCATATTATTGGCATATTCGCAGTTTCTTTCAACCGAAAGCGGAAGTGATGAAACTAAAGGCAACAACGAAACTTCATAATTTGAAAAACTTCAACTCGAGTTATTATAGACAAATACAGTGACTCAAAAAGGCACTTGGTGATTTTTTTTATTATTCGCAATCTTTTTCAAGAACAAATTTTTTCTTGCTTTAAAAATATATAAAAATTGAGGATTCAAACTATATACATACAACATTTAGAAAAGTTCACAAAAATTTTTTAGAACAATTTAAGGTACCGAGTTTTAAAGCAAACAATACTTGAGTATAGCTCACAATGTGCTTCCCGTTGATTTTTTTTTGTCGCCAGTCTTTTGTGTTTTTTTAATTTAACAATTTCTATTGATAAAAAATGGCGTTGATTTAATTTTTTGGCAAATAATCATAGGGCTTCATTGCATACCAGTAAATTCTTTATACGTATTTAAATAATCATTTAAAATATTTAGGCAATCAAAAGCTCCTGGGGATTCCAGTAAAATGAGTTTTGAATGGAGCATGATATGTTCGCCTTATATCCATATACATTTATACTTATGTAAGTATATAAGAAGTATGCAAAGAAATTTTTAATATAAAGATAACTACGTAAAATAAATCGGGAACGAAAAGTTCAACAAAAATCTACCAAAATGAGAAAAAATTTACCTTTTTACCAACCCAAATCTTTTCTACCAATTTTGGTAACAATTTACCAAAGTGGCAACCCTGCATATAGTGCACATGCATTGGTATGCAGTCACTTGGCTACTGGCTCTTAAGTGGGCAGCGTCAATTATAATTTGCATGCGAAAATAGCGCTGAGTGAGAGAGGGAAAAAGGGCAATTGTGCGGCTGAGAGTTGCCGGCAGGGTGTAGTGGGCAATGCTCAACAAAAGGAAAATGCGAAGAAACGCGCTAACCTTGGCATTTAATACAATTATATTATTATTATTTTGTTGGATGAAGCTACAACAATTTTTCATCGAAGAAAAGGCAAACTGAATAAAAGTTCATAGCAAATGCTTCTTTTGAATAGCAATATTGCGCTCTTTCCACACAAACGTCATTGGTGCACAGTTAGCATTGCTGTTGTAGTTCAAGTTTAAGGTTATCGAGCACACTTATATGTAGCTTTGTATGAGAGTGCGCGCGGGACCTTCAACTTAAACCTTCTCCGCTTTGAAGAAAGTATTCACGCCTTGATGCGGCTTAGTCTAATAAAATGAAAATTTGTATGAAAGTCAGAACGAAATTATTTTTGTATAAAATTTAGTTGATTCAAGAAATTAGTGACAATAATATTAACCTTCCACCAAGGAATTTTTGAAAAGCTTTCCCCTCATATGTATTTTAAAAATTTTTACGTTTCTATTACTTCTTATGTTTGTATGAGTTGCTTTTTTTTTTGAGTTTTTTTTTATAAAAATTGTGTAAGTTATTTTTTTTCCAATCTACTAAAGCTTTTTCAACAAGCTTTCGTTCGGAATCAATCTCGTAATATTTTATTTATTTTTCATTTTTTTCTTAACTTTTTAGATTGATAATAGCGCTAATAAAAAATGTTTTTAAATCAAATATTTCTTAAATACCTTTTGTTTGATACTAAAATTGTAATATCCTCTTTAAATATATTTACCATGCTAAGCTTTCTGAATTGTTTTGACACCCCTACTGCGCACTCCATTTACCTTCTCAATTTAATTTAACTAAATTTTAAAACAGATGGCAACACCCTTCAAAAATATTTTGGAAACTAAGCTTTCTTAAGCCTCTTTAGTTTGATATCTTTATTGTAATAATATGTTTTTTATCTTCTCAATGTAATTAAATTAGAATTTTGAAACATGTGGCAACCCTCTTCAAAAAATTTCCTAATGAGCTTTCTCAAATCTTATTAGTTCCATATACAAATTTCAAGGTACTGCATTTAGTTTTTCTAACAATTTAATTAATAATTAATTTTTCAAACGGGTGGCAACTCTCCACTTTTTATAGTTTATAGCGAAAAGATTTAGGAAACTATTATTATATTTGTTACTATTTTTTCTTGTATGTGGAACTTCTTTTGTTGTTGTTTTTTCCTATAGGGTGGCAAAAAGTAGTCTTCGGATTTGAGACCATAAGTATGGATCTATTTATCGGATATCAAACAAACATAACTTAAACATGCTCCACAAATGTTTTAACAAACTTTTGAAACTTTACTTTATATATAAGAGTATGAATAAATATTCAATAAACATATTTTATTAAGTTTTATTAAAAAAAAACGATTTCTGATCTGAGGGTTTCTTTATTTTTCAGAATAACTATCTACTTAAGGAATTTGTCTAAAAAATTAAAATTTATTCGTTGACCATCGAGAATTGCATTCCCTTGTATAATTGACCAACAGCAAATTACCACACTTTTCATCAGGCTTACAAGGACGCACGAAAATCTAAACACAAAATACATCTATGCATCAAATTTGTTCACATTAAATAAAACAAAATCCTACTACAAAATTAAGGAAACTAAATCAATCAACTACGCATAATGAATGTGCAACTAACGCAACAATCAGCCAATGCCACCCTGAAACATTGCAGCAGCAACAACAATAGCCACAGTAGCAGTAGCAGCAGTCAAAGGCGCAGCCACATCAACACTAACAATATGAACACCACCACCGTCAACACACAATCACAACAACAACAACAACAACAACAGCCAGCCAGCAATCGCACAATGTCCACAGCAGCGACGCCAACATCTACGCTGGCGCATAGAATTCAGAGTCCTACGTCACTACCGCCCACCGCCTCGCCAACGACGGCGACAACGCAGACAGCCAGTGGCGCGCGCAGTCCTTCGCCGGACGGCACACAGGATTACGATGTGACGCGCATGCGCGAGGAGGACTTTGAGCGGCTGGCCGTTTACATAGTGCCCGATGTGCAGTGCGAGCGTGGCGTGCCAAATCGGGCAGATCGCACGCTACCACGCAGCCTAACACTAAAACCTTCGATGGTTTTCTCAACGCCAAATGTTAAGGTAAGCGGACTAGAGGAAAAATGTTAAGAAATAATTTAAATGATAATAATACAATTTTTAAATACTCGAACTAATTTGTATTTTTCATTCTTGCAGACTGAAGGAGTTTGGAGCACTGGTGTCATACCGCGAGGCACACGTTTTGGCCCCTTTGAAGGCGTTCCAACTCCAAATTATCCCAACGATAAGAATAAGGCGCGCTATTTTTGGCGGGTAAGCATACAAATATACAAAAACTACAACTGCAAATACAAATACAACTAAATCATCGTCACCACTCAAATGCATTTAAATGAAAACACTGAAGTGAAAGTGTGTGTATGTAAACAGGGTGTTTGTGTAGTAAAGAGAAAATGGATCATACACACGATCATGTAACATTGAAGCATTAAAAAGCACGGAAGCCATATATATCATCATTCATGTAGTCACTATCATTATATATTCGACGATAAGCTGAAAAAAGAATTGCAATTGTATCCAATAATTTTAATTTTTGAGAAACATTTAACAAGTTTAAAAGGATTTTTATGACAGTTACAACAGTGCTATCTTTTCATTCAAATCGTCGCCAAGAATTACAAAAATCGATTTTTTAGTAACCAGAATACTGTTCAAATATTTTTGTTATTAATTGCTTCCATCAATTTATAACTAATTTTACTAAAATTAAACTTTATTTTATCTGTGTTTTGATAATTTTCGATATATACATAGCACAAAAAATCAGCGCCGAATTTTAAGTCCCTCGCTGATATGATTTGCTGGTAAACATTTTTTTTTTTTATACCAAAGTTGCATAACAATTTCATCTGCGGTCTATATATAAGCCGGAACTATGTACTGTCCTTAATTAAATTTTCTAGTCATACCGCATATATGTATGTATGTACGTCGTCGATTTAACTCGAAGCTGATCTACGCTTTCCGATAATATTTAAGAGCAAAAGGTTTAATAGATCAACTTCTAGACTAGCTTATTTATTAACTGGTAAAAGCCAAATTGCAAACGCAATTGATTAGTCTTCTCGCCTATGTCGAATCTTGTTCTAAAGTCTTAGGTTCCTGTCCGTTTGCCGTTGGTAAAGATTTTCCAGCATAATTGAAGGAAACTGATAGTTAATTTGTTTCAATTTATACAAGTCTACATTAGGGCTGTTCAAAAATCCATATGAAAAAAGTAAAGTTAATGCTCTTAGATTCTAGGATTGTTCTATATCGAAAAAATATACCCCTGTTTTTTTCGAGATCAAAAAAATCAATATGGGGAAAACACAATGTTTCGTGGAAATTGCATAGAATTCTAGAATTCTATCGAAAAGCTTTGTTTATTTTTAGGAGACTTCAAATATTAATACCCAATTGTTAATTTTACCATTTCCTAATACTATCGATTTTTTATGGGTCGCCTCATTGATTATTTGGGGTTTTTGGGGGACCTATAATAAAAAGTGAATATCAAAAAGTTGTTGAATAAATAATAAATATTGATTTTCAAAAATTCTGTACCATTTCTATGAAAAAAATATAAAATACATGGAAAACTTTGAACCTTTTGGAGAGACCACTAAATATTTTTTTTATTTAAAATAAAAAAATATATATATTTTTTTTGTTATATAGCACAATCATAGTGCATGAGAGCATTAAAATTCGGACTTTACTTGTTTTGGACCACCCTAGTGGACATACATAAGTAAGAGCTACACATTTTTGAATTGAAATTCATTTGAAAGAAAATATATTTGAAATGCCGTAAAAAGTAAATTAACCCTTTAACGGTTTTTTTTATAATGATTTGAAATCACCCATCATTCTTTTTTTTTTGTTGGTAATTAGGCAACTTCGAGCAATGTTTCAAGCTCAGTTTCAATTTACCTGTGAAAATAAGTACGCTAGGTGTAAAAAACATTTCCACCGCCTGTAGACGGATAACACAAAAGCTAAAATTTTGTGCAATTGTGTTTTTCTCAAGTTATCGATATTTGTCGAAATTTTGGAAAGGGCAGGCAAATCACTATCAACTATAATAACTTCGCAAAGCAAAATAGGCAGTTGACAAAACTGTTTGATATCGGCTCAAACTGACAAACATTTGAAATGCAATATATGAAAGGAGACAAAAATACACGCCACTAATGAGGTGATCGGGCTGTACTTTCTCAATATGTTGTTTGGGTTTTACCATACTCTGTTGTGGGCACCCAATTACAACAAAGTGGCAACAATAATTTGGTTAATTCGAGCGGCGATTCATCCCCTAAAGATACTTGCACATCTCTCTCGCCTAATACCCTGCCCACACACCTTATATTTATTTGATAAAGCTTCGCACCAAGTTGTCATATGATCATATAACCCGTGGCTGGCCAGAGTTATTCAAAGGACTCCCTTTTCTGCAACTCGAAGGGTGCGTTATAGATACAAAAGAAAAAACATCAACTTCATCACCTCTAAAATAGGACTACAGAGTTTCTAAAAATACAAATTGGATCTTCGACCTCCGCCTCGACCAAAAGCTTCGGCAACGACGATATTTCGTATGGTGAGAAAAGTTACAATGGACGTACAAATACTCTTTGGTAGAGTAAGCCTGAAGCCTGTGAATGCAAACAGTGTATAAAAAGAGAACTTGGACTTCACCCGAGCATATTCGTCTATATAGAAACCAAAAACTAACTTCGAGGAGTATGCTGCCATGAAACGCACTTGAATATGTCAATTTTGGCGTAAATAGTTATGAGAGACGATCATTAGAAAACGCCGTAAATATATACATATATAATATTTTTTTAATTCACAAAAAAGCCCTGAAAATTTAAAAATAATAATTCTTATGTCTCGAGGGCAATCTCCTGAGGAAGATATGAAAAACATCGAAACGCGTAGGAGAAAGAGGGAACATTGATTTTTATTTAGCCGGCAGAATAGCTCCTTAGAAAACAAATAATATTTCCTACTCACTATAAAATTTTAAAGTCTTTAGAAAAATAAAATAATATCGGAACTACAAAATCACTATTTATCCCAATAATTTATTACACCTTTCACACTGACCCACAACTTTAACTAGCTAGCTAGCGTGTACTCAAAATATAAAGTACCTAGGGCATATTAGTCTGAGTTCACAAAGCACATGATTACTAAAAATCGTTATTATATTTTTTTTAATAGTGCTATCTTATTTTAGTTATATTTATTAGCAATAAAGCAATGACCATCTACGGACGGTTATACATTTTTTCACTGCCCGAAGGTTCGAATCTTGGATCTTTCTAGCCAGGCTAGGCCATTGTGACTGTTGTCAAAGCGAGTGAAAGAAAACTTGTTGTAGGTAGACTACCACGTCAACTGTTTTGACATCGCAAAAGACGAACTAGGCAAACTGGTAATATTCTAGTTCACAATTAGCAGCCTTGCCTGCAGAACCGTTAACATAACCCTTCGAAGGACTCTCTGATTCACGTGCAATGTAACCCAACAAATATTACACCAATGCCGTTCAAAGTTTTAAATGAGGAATCTAACATTTGTGCGATTTTACTGCAGGATTTATTCGAACACGGAGACCGACGCGTTCGTAGAAATAAAATGATTAATAGACGGGTTTTGTAAAATTTAAGCAGAAAAAATTTACGTAGAAAAAAAACAAAAATTGTTGATTGTACTAAAGCTAGGAATTTTACTACTATTTGATGAAAATTATTTTTTGTTTGTTTATAAGATGACATTTTTCACTGCGATAACATCGCATAGATATGTGCGCACTTGCGTTTTCGAAGTAGTAAATTCTCTAGCATCGAAAACATTGCGGATTCGCTCCGACAGAATCGCACTGGTGCGTGGATACCTTTAGTTTCTATTTGGAAGCTATGGGCACCAGCTCTGATAAATAATTATATATTTTTAGCTTACATTGTTAAAAATTTAAATTTTTCATATTATTTTCATAAAAAAAAGTGTTTTTAATCACCCATGCATAAACATCCCATAAACCATTCATGCTTTTAACATAAAATTACTCAACCATCCATCATCCTTTGACCAGCATACATTCCTCCATTTTATTTCTTTTGTGCATACTTATTTACTTACAATATCAAAGTTATTTTATGTACATACAGTAACTTTTTCTAACCGCAAGCCAAACCAAACTTTTCAATTTTATTTCATGTGTATTCCTTTCACCAAAACTACCACCACCAACTTAACAAAATAACCAATCAACCAACCATCTAAAAATTCGCATAATCAAACCAAACAAAAAAAAAAACCGCAATTTGAAATCGCATTCGCCTCAAAAAATTAATAAATTATAAAATCCAAAAACTAAAATTCGACTCCAATCAGGTGCAGGAAACACGCCACATAACCTACGGGAACATTAAGGTACTATTTTACGCTTTTTAACAACTTTTTACTGCTCCTTCTTAAGCGTTACGAACTTTACTCTCTACATTTTGACACATAAATACTTTGACGCTATACTCCACTTTCTCCCACTATTACTATTTTCTATTCTAACTGTTGTTTGAAACCAACGTATCATTTCATTTTATATGATTTCCGTTAATTAAAACTCATAGCTGTTTTTGAATGGGCTTCCCGAAAGCCTACTAGACATGTACATAGATAACTACACCTTTTCCAACAGTATTTCAGAAAAACACAAAATGTTTTTCTGAAAATGCCAAATGAATTTCAGAAAAACTGAAATGTATTTCAGAAAACCTCAAATGTATTTCAGAAAAGGCCAAATGTATTTCAGAAAAAGCCAAATAAAATTCAGAAAAACCCAATTGTATTTCAGAAAAGGGCAAATGTATTTCAGAAAAGCACAAATGTATTTCAGAAAAATATTTTTAGAATACAGTTATGTTTTTCTGAAATACATTTGTGCTTTTCTGAAATAAATTTGCCCTTTTCTGAAATACATTTGCCCTTTTCTGAAATACATTTGCGTTTTTCTGAAAATCATTCGATTTTTTCTGAAATACAATTGTGTTTTTCTGAATTTCATTTGGCTTTTTCTGAAATACATTAGGCCTTTTCTGAAATACATTTGAGCTTTTCTGAAATACGTTTGCCCTTTTCTGAAATACATTTGGCCTTTTCTGAAATATATTTGAGTTTTTCTGAAATTCATCTGGCCTTTTCTGAAATACATTTGTGTTTTTCTGAAACACTGTTGGAAAAGGTGTACTCCAAACTCCAAATCGAACGTGTCTCTTACCTTTTGGAAGTCCACTTGCGAAAGCCAAAAATTAAACCGCTTATAATTTATCCTTATATTTGTATTGTTTATTGCTTGTTATTGTAACTTTTCCAATTGGTGTTTTGCCTTGAATACATATAAACTTAAGTAAATATTATTTTTAGCGCCAACGTTATTTCCAAATATTGTTGTTGTCATCTTTTTTTTTTTATATATAATATAACTGTGTAAGCGGTCTCTTTCGCAACTTTGTAGTCTGATCTATGAACTTTTGTGTCAAAATTCTTTCATAACCCATAAAACCGTTCACAACGCTCGTGAGAAAATAAGGAGGAGGAGAAGGAGGAGTGGAGCGTTTTGAACCGTTTTGTTGCTCGACTAACTCAACTTGTTTGTAAATATGTATTTGTTGGCTTTATCCCTGAAAACTGACCCAACTCCCCATTTCTTTTCTTTTCTCTTCCTTTCTTCCCCTCAACATTGACGCCTTTCGCCAACAGATCTTCAAAGATGATAATTTCTACTACCTGGATGGATCGGATCGTGCGCAAGCAAACTGGATGCGCTACGTTGCCTCTGCGTACAGTTTGTCCGTGATGAATTTGGTTGCGTGCCAGCACCAAGAAAATATCTACTTCTATACAACACGTGACATTATGCCCAACGAGGAGTTGATGGTGTGGTATTGCAAGGACTTTGCGCGGCGGCTGGGCTACGATGTAGATCCAGAGCGTACGATTTTCGGCGCTTGTAAACAGGCTGTCGACGAGGATGACGATGTTGAAGCGGACGGGGACGGGGATGAGGAACAAGCCGCAGCAGCTCCATCGGGCACTGCATTGCTGCTGGGGAACAAGGCGAAGATTAGATCGAATTCGCCGTATTGCATGCCCGCGCCAGAAATACCACCAGAAGTTGCGTATAATCACATCACCTACGTTATGGGTCTGCCAATGCCGCCATTGCCCACAATGCCAAGCAACGCGGTGAGCGCAGGCAACCGGCGTACCGTCACTTCTAGTCCCTCACCGCCCATCTGCCGTGACAACTCAGCCGGCCATATACAACACCTGACTGGCCTGCCACACATCCACCATGCCCAGTCCGCGCAACATCAGCCCGTGCTGCGGCAGCAAAACACACATCAGCATACACAACACGCCCAGCCGCCTTCACACCTGCCGCAACATCAGCACATCCAGCAGCACCAAACAGTTTTGCATCTCAAACAGGAACCCGGCGCCTCGGTGATTGTACGCGATCGTTCGCCAGCGAGTAGCGAATGTGGCGTTAAGGACGGCAAGGAGGTGGTGGGTTCCCCGATACCGCACAAAGATCCGCAGTACGAGCATCAGCTGACACCAAACGATGGCAGCGTGCGTTCGGTACGTTCGGACGAGGGCTATCACAGCAACGAGTATCATGAGGACGGTTTGACGCCACCTGAGGACTCCAGCGATAGTGAGAGTGAGCATAACTATGTACTGGATTGTTCGAAGAAAGCCATCGCCCCCAAAGAGACTGTCATATCGCACCCACAGAAGGCGGCTGTAGCTGCGGCTGTTGCTGCAGCAGCCGCCGCTGCTAGTAACAACAACAGTGCAAGCAGCAACTGCGCGACTGCTCCGGCAGCACCAGCTGCGGTTGTGCCAACGGCCGCTGCCATAGATTGCGCCGACAAGAACGAGTATCGTAAGTTCAAGGTGAAAATGCCGCTAAAATATGAATTCAAAAATAGCAAATGCGCCATTAAGACTGAGGCCATGTGCCACCTCAACAACGCAACTAATACTAATCAAAAAAGCAGTGACGAAACAGTGACGCCAATAGCACGCACAACCGCCAGCGAGGATGATCTGCTTTCTGCTAACGAGGCTGCAGCAACTTGCACCTCCTCAACACAGCTAGATGAAGAGGCAATGGAAGTGGACCGCCGACCAGGCTCAACCACGCAGCAGCACGCCTCCAGCACAGTCATAGTAGTCGACCATGGTCATTCGACAATCAGTGGCCATTCGGCGCGCAACATTATGCCACTAAACAAGGCATACTATGAGGCCGAAACGAGTTCGCCACCGCCATCAACAACCACGCAATCTGCAGCTGCGGCCGCAGCGACTGTGGCATACATGCGGTTTACGCCACCCTCCTCGAGCATACTGGAGACAATACTAACGGGGCAGCATCGATTAGAGGCCGCAGCGGCTGCGGCAGCGGCTTGTCGTCAGGCAAACGCTGCCACCCCGCCCCCTTCATCGCCTACCGAAATGGCCTACTCGTATAAAAAATCGCACCGGTATGGCAATGCTGTCAGTCCCGACTCCAGCTCCAATTTAGTGCAGCCTCCTGACATACATGCCACATCTATGCATGAGACTGAAATGCTAATTGCTTCATCACGCGGTAGCCTCAAAGACGACTGTTCACCACCACCACCACCAGGCCACCACGTGATATTCTCTCCAGCACACGGCGCGCATAGCGCTTTCGTATCAGATGGCCATCAAACGCCTCCATACTCGGCGTATTCACCTTACTCCAGTGGCAGTGTGAACGGCGGTCCGCCTGGTGCAAATCATGCACTCTCCCATGTACCCACATCCACCTTCCACTCACCGCCACACAGCTCACACTCGCCCTTCGACCGACAATCGAATGGATCCAGCGGATCCACACCCAACCTCCACTTGTTGCAATCTAACACTCAGATGCTGATGCAACCGCTGCGCATTTCCCCACCACACAGTATGAGCCCTGATGGGAACTCGTGTCCGCGGAGTGGCAGTCCGCTCAGTCCGAATTCGCTGGGTTCACGTGGCTATCGTTCACTTCCCTACCCACTGAAGAAAAAGGATGGAAAAATGCACTACGAATGCAATGTCTGCTGTAAAACCTTTGGTCAGCTGAGCAATTTAAAGGTGCATCTGCGCACGCATTCCGGCGAACGTCCATTCAAATGCAATGTCTGCACGAAGAGTTTCACGCAACTAGCGCATTTACAGAAGCACCACTTGGTGCACACCGGTGAGAAGCCGCATCAATGCGACATCTGTAAGAAGCGCTTCTCCTCAACGTCGAACTTGAAGACCCACCTGCGATTGCACAGTGGTCAAAAGCCATACGCTTGCGACCTCTGCCCACAGAAGTTCACCCAGTTCGTTCATCTGAAGTTGCACAAGCGATTGCACACCAACGATCGGCCATATGTGTGCCAAGGCTGCGACAAGAAGTACATCAGTGCATCTGGTCTGCGTACGCATTGGAAGACGACAAGCTGCAAGCCAAACGACCTGGAGGAAGAACTGGCGATGGCCGCGGCGGCGACCTCAGAATGTTTGGGTAAGTGTTGAAGCCGACCGAAGCACGCCATATGATCCAAAACTAATTAACACTATCGCTCTTCTTTCTCTTCCCTTCTACTTCGCGCACTACAGATAAAGACCTGCCAGAGCCCGATTCACGCGAAGCCTTCGAGCACTTGCAACACCAAATGCATCCGCACCTGCGACACATGTCAACCGGCGGCGGCTCGAATAGCAACGGCGGCGGTCACCCCTCCCCGCCGCGCCTTATCTCTATCAACCCCCACCACCAGCAGCAACAACATCAACAGCAAACGCATTCCCATCTCCAACAGCAGCACGCTGCCATGTTACAACAACACGCTGCGGCCCAGCAACACCTGTCAGCAGCGCCATCGAATGTATTGCTTAACACCAACGGAAGCCAACAACATCATCATAGCCATCAGCAGCAGCATTTACACCCACAGCAGTTACTCCAACAACAACAACAACCACTCCCTATGAAGGTTGCAGGCAAACAACAAATGCATTTGCTGCCACCCGGCACAGGCAGCAATAATAGTGCGGCTGCGGGGGCCGCGCCAGCGATGAGTGGCGCCAATGACGCTTACATGAGCGTCTCGCACGCACATGCGGCGGCGGCAGCAGCACACGCGGCTGCAGCGGCGGCGGCGGCACATGCAGCAGCTGCGCACCAACATGCGCAGAATCAGGAGAGCAGGCCGTCGGTGATCGAGTCCAGCCAGCCGATGATAATCGAGTGCACGTAGAATAGTGGGCGTAAAGAAGTTGATAGAAGAAATTTTTCCTGTATAAAACTGGAAAGTTGCGGTTGAAGTGTACAGCGGATTTCGAGTTTGTAACAGAGCCGAGCTGAGTTGAGTCGCGCATATTTCGCGCAAAATGCTGAGCTACCGGAGGTGGGGTGGCTGGAATGGCTCCACAAAACCCCCAGAAAAAGAAAAGTGCAATATGAAAATGTGAAAGCTCATTTCGAATGCTTTTGGTGATGGCGCTTTCATTACGAAATTGTCGAAAATGAGTTATTTGCAAGCTTACTGAGTTAAAAATAATGGTATTACTAAATTAATAGTCGAACTTCATTTTACAATTAGTGAATTTAATAATTGGTATATATACACACACACACACACACACACACACACATACATACATACATACATACATGCAACTAGTTAAAATATACATTTAATGCTGCAAACTGTAATACAAAACCAAGGAAATCACAAATCTACACACTCACCAGCTCGTGCGGAGTCCCGCTAGGCTGTGTGTAAGTTGTAGTAAGATGAAACTAAATTTTTCATTTCTTGAAAAGATCTCAAAATTGGCAGCCAATTATTCGCAGCACATTTATTTTTGATAAAAAAAAATTAAGAAGTTAAACTAAATCTATTAAGAGTACCGAGTGTGGCGTAGTAACCGCGAGTTTTATACGTGGCAATTATGCATCTTTGTATGTATGTAGTTGTAATTTGAAAACAAATATGTTATAGTAAATATATGAAAACTAAGTCCTGTTAAGTCTTTATACCCTATTTGTTACATTAACTTTTTGGCTAAGTTTTGTTGTAAAGTGCATTTAAAATCAGCGTTGTAATAAAATAAAAAGAAAATTTTACATGCATACACACGCATTTTAGCAGAAAAATCACAAATGAGTTGAGTAAAGTTGCCTTATTTAGATTAACATAGAATAGCGAGTGGTGTCGGCGATGCCATGGAAAATGATTAAGTGGAAATGAAGCAATGACCGCAGCGAAGGTACAGTTCAATGTGAAAGCTGCAGAAAAAGTGAAAGCTGCAGAAAAAGTTGAAAGTCAAGTAATACTTACTGAAACGATATCTAAGCATTTTTGAGTGACGAGTAGGCTTGGCATGCAGTTAGCCCAACAAATGTTCGTACTTTTGAGCAGTTTTGGGAAATTTGTGTGGTAAGAAAGCTTCAGTACGTTAGCCCAAATAAAGCGGCTTAACTAAAATTTTGGCTGCAGCGCTTAAAGCTATGCGCTACACTTTTTAAAAATTTAGCACTTTCCGTTGTTATTTGTTTTTTCTTAAATACATGCGTGTTTTTGAATGGTTGAGAGTACTTCAGACTTTAACTATCGAATTAAAGCTCAACTAGCAATAACGCTAAGCCATGAAGCCATCACAAGGATCAGCCGTTGAAATCGCTATATAACAGATTTTAAGAACAACAACATTGCATAAAAATTAAAAAAAAAATAAATAAAATTACTTGAAAAAATGCAGAACACTTTTTGTTTGAGATTTTTATTGTAACTTTTGCAACCAGCGCAAAATTAGTGTATACATACATATTTGAAAGTTTAGTTGATAAGTACATTGCATACACTTAGGCTTTACATCTGCTATAAATAATCGTATACATGCATACATACATTTATCTACATGGTTATGTAGAAAGTGTAGCAAAATGTATGCGTATCAACATGAAACATTGTAAAGCAAAAGAAAGTACGAAGTAAGTTAATTTAAATTTACTTGAAATTTTTAGTCTTAGTCAAACAGAAATATTTCAACAATACATACATACATACACACATATACATAAAAACACAAACACACATACAATCACAAATATGAAAACACTATTCTACACCAAATCACTTACAAAACAAAACAATCGTATATATGTATATAAAACCATGTGTCACGTAGCGCATGCAGACGTGTACACGTTAGCAAAACTTAGCTGAAGATCGGTGCTTTTTGAACTGTTTCTATTTGTACAATTTTATTGTATTGTATTATTATCAAAAAAAAAAAACAAAAAACACAAAAATTAACGTAACAGAACGAGAAGGAGTGTTTATAAGTACATATGTATATACATATGTATCTACTTAGAAGAAAAGAAAAATATTTAATATGATTACTGTTACTTTATGTATCTATATGTATGTTTAAAAAATACTAAAAATTACAATAATACACATTGAAATATGTACTGATACATTTAATTATTGAATAGTGAATAGTTTTAAAATTGTCTAAGCTTAAAGTGTGCGTCAAATTGTCAAATGAAAAACTGTAAAATCCTCTGACTTGTAAACATACATACATACATACGTACGTAAAAACTTTACTTATACCAAAATTTTTGAAAACAAACAACAAATACAAAAACAAAGTATGAAAAATACTGTTTTCCAAATTCTAAAAATAATTTGTTTTGATTTTTCATTTCGCAATTAAGTAGTTGGATTTTTTCCATGGTGAAATTATACTAGCTGAAGTAATAAGAGCGAGGAGAAAGATTATATATATATTATCTTATTTGAAAATTTGCCTTTAAAAATTTCTGTTTTTTGTTATTGCTGTGGTCTAATAACAATTCATACATATATAAAATTTTCATTGAGCTCCAGGCCAAGTTTTTTAATTATTTATTGATAATTGGAGAAAGAAACAAAAACTTTGAGTGATAGAAGTAATTGCTTTAATTTCGGAGATCACCACATCTCCTCATCAGACTTCTTCTGGGCCTGTAACTTGAACTCACGACTCCGGCCTTCGAAGGCAGCGGTATTAACCACCGTTGCTCTTTTTCCCTGCTGCATTTAAAATTTTCTATAAGATAGCCGAATTTCAAGAAAATAAAGCTAACAAGTTGTTTTATTACTCCAACTATCTGTGTATAATTTCACAATGGGGTTTTCAAAATTATTTATGTTTAATACAGCTTTGATAATTCTTTGGAGAAAGAAATTCGTTTTTATGAAATAGATACAGTGTGGGTGTTCACATGTGTCTGCTAATCTGACTATTAGGTTATATTTTTATTCAGTATAAAATAATAAAATACACTGCAGAATAATAATTTTTTGCCAGATAATGGCGCTGTTACACGATATGTATGCATATGTAAATGCTGCTTTTTTGTCAGAAAATAAGAAAAGACCAAGCAAGTGTGAACGCCCACAGTGTGTTTGGTAAAACGAGTGGCTCACGGTTTTCGACCAATTATTCGGAGTGAATAGATATTTGTGGTAACCATAAAAAGTATTCATCCACCATTGCACAGAAAAGTTTTTTTTCACTTATAGTGTGGATTGGACTGTACCAGACCTTTTTCTTAAAGAAAGCCCAACACTTATTCCCTGTTAAATACATAAAATACTGACTTTGGCGGTTTCGGCATCATAAAAACATTGATTTAACTGAATGCATTTTTTACAGATAAATCTTGATTTTTTTTCTGAATAATTACACTGAATCATAAATTTTAATTTGGTTTTTTTTTCTCCAGACGCCACTATCAAATTTCCATGTAGAACTGCTCGGGGATTCCGAAAATCGGGTTAATTTTTTTCTATGGATAAGTTTTCGAGATATTTGCAATTTACTGTTATTCAGCTTAAAGCAAAAATTGGTTCCTTTTAATCACGTATATCTTACGAACCAGTTCAAAAATCTTAATATAAAATACGGCAAAAGCTAATGAAATTCTTCATAAACCATGTATGCATCACTTTCCGATAGTACTGATAGTTTCAGACAAATTAATTAATCATTTCAGTTTTTTTTTATTTTTGAAGCAAAAAATTAAAAAAATCTATTTTCACAGAAGAAAAATTAAAATAATAACAGGTTCTGTGCCAAATTTTTGCACTTCCACTAAATCCTGTTCTGTTGCAAAAGAAAACAAATCAAGTTACTGATGAAGAAAATCAATGGATAAATACGAAATAATTAGTGGTAAAATGAAAATGCCGAAGATTCTTTGTACAAAAAATTAGCAGGAAATAATGTTATTCATACGCCACGTACAGCCGAGCATTACGCTTTTCTGCTCATATTTCTTTTCGTATTTTCATTTGACCACTCATTACTTCTTTATTTATACTTCGCTTTCGTTCACTATTAAATTCTTGTTTGTCTATTTCTTTACAATGGGGTTTGTTGACATTCACTGAAAATCTCAAAGCAAAAAGAAAAAACGCGTAAACTTGTCCAAAAATGTATGATGTAGAAATCCTTTTTGAACCTGAAACTTAAGATTTATTGTTCAAAATAACATAAAATACGTTTTAATATATTGGATTGGCCATCTCAGTCTACAGTTGATAGTCTTAATGAAACTGTCTGAGAGCTTGAGACAGATAATCTAAGGAAAGGGTATATTCAAAATGAAGCAACTGAAATGGATTTTCTAGGAATATTCTATAAAAGTGGATTAGTCCGGTCAACTTATTAACCATTTTTCGAGTTAAAAAAAATATATATATAATTACCCAGTTAAGACATTTTTGTTTTTTTTTTAAGCCAATCGATTAACTTATTGTAGGCCATTCACACATATCAAACACACTGTGTGTGTGTGTAATGGTTTGTGTTCATATCGATGAAAACCGTTAGATATCAAGTGAGGCCAATGCCAGATTGCTGGGGCTCTTTCAGCTTACGAAACAAAGAAATAAAAATTTATATCTTCAAAACCTGTGGACCATTTAGGAAAACCGCCAACATTTTCCGATTTAAATAGGTAGGTAGAAGTGGCTGCTGCCTTAGCGGCACACATAGGCCATAGATAGAAGGCCCATTGTGTTACCACAGTTGACACCGTTCAATTATCCTCCCCATTGAACCACTTCGTGTCGCTGATGAATCTCATCAGGCACCTCGCATCGGTAATTGAAACCTCCCCTAAGGTGGGCCAGGAATGGTGAACCCAGATGACGCAGCCTGCTTCTGCACATTGCAGGGCATTTACACAAGCGAT